ACAAGGGGGAATGGCTTTAAATTAAAAGAAGGGAGATTTAGGTTAGATGTTAGGAAGAAATGCTTCAGTCATAGGGCAGTGAGGCCCTGGCACTGCTGCCCAGAGAGCTGTGGTGCCCCATCCCTGGAGGTGCCCAAGGCCAGGTTGGATGGGCCCTGGGCAGCCTGAGCTGGTGGGGGGCAGCCAGCCCATGGCAGGGGTTGGAACTCAATGATCTTTAAGGTCCCTTCCAACCCAAGACATTCTGTGAGATATTTTTTAATATCTTCCCCACCCTAAGGAAATCTGGGGGAATTAACTGATACCTACTGTAAACGATGGTTGACACATGGTTCAATTTATAGAGGACAGAGGGGTGTTTGAGTTCCTCTGTGCTTAGCTGGACGAAGCTTGCCAGCCCCTGCTTGAGGGAACACTGAGAGTTTTGCTGACACAAGCACAGTAAGCTCTGAACTCTATGAGCTTTCTGTTGAGCCTTGCACCATCCCCAGCACTTGCACAGCAGCTGGAGTCACTCAGGGAGCACGGTGAGTCCTCAGAAAAACCCCATCTCTCCTCTGTCACACTGTCACCAGTGGATCTACTTGGCAAGGCTTCAGCCTCACTTACCAGCCTTGAAAGAGCTTCAGGGAGCCAAATGCCAAGAAATATTTACAGAAAATAAAGATAAAAAAGAGGAAATGAGCTGACACTTAAAGCATTTGTTTTTGCAGCGTCTGACTTTACAGGATTTGAAGCAAGGCACATGGTATTTTTGCAGATTATATGTTAACATTACTCAATATCTTTTCTCTAAATTCTACTGGCAGAGTTCTGTTTCCTCGCAGCACCTTTCTCACAAATGGGAAAAAAGAGATGTGGGTTGGGTGGCTGAACTACTGCACTGCTATCCTAGGTCACTGCAGGTTTGGGTTGGTGATTTGGTTTGAGTATAGGTATAAAACAATCACTAGAGGCGTGTTCCATTAAGATTTTATTAGTGTTTGATCAGAAAAGCAACATACAGTGCTGTTCAGCATGTGAGAACTTTCTTCTTTCAGTTGAAGGCAGCCAACAGCTGTGGTGCTGTGCCACTGCTCTGGGGATCACAAAGCACAACTCAGTACTGACGTGCAGTTTTTCCATAGGGTGAAATATGTCTGGATTCTTGGACCATAAAAAACAAACAATAAACAGTTGGAAAAATACTTCAAAACATTTGGGATGGGATGGGCTGGCCAGTCCTGCCATCCTGACAGTGAGATGGTTATAGGACCTGCTCGGTGTGTGCAGATGGAGAGGTGTGAGCATTCCCTCTCTCCTGACTGTAAGCCAGGAGTACTGAGCTGTCTGATCCCATTCCATTCCGGCTTTAGCCCAAGGTTTTCACCCTGGGCTCTGGATAACTGATGAGGACTGAAATATTCCTGCTGCTTTCATGGCAGAAAGAAAGGGAGATGAGATTATCCAAGTGGAACAGCACCATACTGGAGGAAGCAACATCAGGAAATACTCTGCTTAGAAGAGCCAGACTGAACCTAGGCACGTATTAGTGCCTCCCTGCCATAGGATCTGCTACATTGGTGATGCAGTGTGTGCACCAGAACATAACAATTGGGCAACAGAAATCAAGATGACAGGTTTTACAGATGGGTTTCGGGAATGAACAACTCCCAGGTTTTTGCCTGCTCTGAATCTGCGCTTGTGCTTCTTTTTCCTTCTCAGAGTGGAATCAAACAATTAAATGATACCATAATAGGAAAATCATGGCAGAAAAGCTCCCAAGACTATTACTGTTTTGAAACCACCTCGGCTTTTGATCCAGCAGCCCTGAACTGGGGGGCACATCACTGTGACTGCTCCTTCCCCATACAGACCCTGAGTTAGTGCAGACCAACCATGCAGGCTTCATGCTCTGTATGTAGGTTATCCCACTGATTTGGGTGGGATTATTCATCTGCTTAATTTATTCATGTATTCAGAAAGCTCTGCTGGCTTGTTGTCATAACAAAG